GTGTGTGTGTTAAGGAAATTTTAGAAAAAAATCATTTATCAGATTATTTAAAGGTGCTCTTAGGGTTAGGCAGATGGCTCAGTGGGTAAGAACACTTCCTGTGCAAGTTTGAGGACCTAAGTGTGGCCACTACGGTCCCACATAAAAAGTCAGGTGTGGCTGTACACTTCTGTGACTTTATCACTGGTAGAAACCAGAAATACGAGGCTTGCTGGACACTCAGCCTGCTTGAAATATGGTGAATTCCACGCTCAATGAGAGACTCTATGTTAAAGGGATAAGGTAGAGAGTGATCAAGCAGGTAACCTGACATCCTCTGTTGGCCTCTGAATGCTCACATGCGCGCGCGTGCACACACACACACACACACACACGCACGTGCACATGCACGTGCACGTGCACGTGCATATACAGAGCAGGGCTCCTAAATACTTTGCACATTGTTAGAATTAAAAATGGCTTACCCAAGGTGGTTTTCCTTCTTAACAGCTTTTGGGTTTCTTTTTAATTAATTTATTTGTTATGGATACACTATTCTGTTTGCATATATGCCTGCTAGAAGAGGACACCAGACCTCATTACAGATGGTTGTGAGCCACCATGTGGTTACTGGGAATCGAACTCGGGTCCTTTGGAAGAGCACGCAATGCTCTTAACCGCTGTGCCATCTCTTCAGCCCCCAGCTTTTGGGTTTGACCTCTACTTTGGAAGTAACAGACAGATTTTATTTAGCATGAGAAATATATGTCTTATGAATAATTATAATTTTAAACTCCTATGTTGCCTGTATGAATTCAAAATGATTATATAGTTGATAGATAAATAGATAATATAAACACACCACAGAAAGTACCTTAGTCTAGTTTATAGTATTATAACAGAACACCACAAACTGGATAATTTAAAGCAAATACATGTTTATGAATGGGCCTAGTTGTTTTTGGATTCCTTTAAATTCTTGTCCAGACAAAAATCAAACTAAAATGAGTTCTCATGTACCTTAAGTCTAAAACTGTTGCCAATTTTTAAAGAGAATTATAAAAACAATTAGCATGTATTATAGATTTAAAATTTTTAAGTATAAGTGAGAAATAAAAGAAAAATCACCCACAGTCTTCATACCAGAACCAAATTATTTGTCTATGGGTTCTAAAGTCTTGGAAATCTAAGATTAAGGAGAAATGTTTGGTGAGGACTTTGTGCTCTAAGTTATAACATGACTGGAAACATCACAGCAAAAGAACAGGTGCAAGGAAGAGGACTGAAGGATCATATTTTATAAGGTCACCACTGTTCAAATAATCCAGTATAGGGGAAGGGTCTCTAACTTCAACAGCTCTTACAGGTCCCACTTTCAACATGTTGAACTTTGGGAGAAAGATTGAAGACATAGCAGACATACTGAATGGAGAGAGGGAAAGATATTACATTTAATCTATTGTAGTAGTAGGAGCGGGGCTATGTCCCTGGCACCTGGCCGCCCACATGGCTAGCTTATACCCCGAAATAACAACACACAAACTGTATTCTTTTAAACACTGCCTGGCCCATTAGTTTCAGCCTCTTAACCCATTTCTAATAATCTATGTAGCACCACGAGGTGCGCTTACCAGGAAAATTCAGCATGTCTGACCTGGTGGCTGGCTGCATCGCCATCTGCCTCAGAGAGCAGAGCTATCGCATCTGCCCGGGAGAGGGGAGCATGGCGTCTCTGAGCTCACTTCCTCTTCCTCCCAGCATTCTGTTCTGTTTACTCCTCCCACCTATGTTTTAACCTATGAGGGCCAAGCAGTTTCTTTATTGCTTAACCAATGAAATCAACAGATTGATATATGACACTCCCACATCAATCTATCATTTTCACCTAGACTCCACTGTGTGCAATACTCAAAATACTTGGATTTCTTAGCATAAAACTTCTATAGGTAAAACACAAGCTTCTCATTACTAAACTTCTCTTGTGTATTAACAGATTGTGGTTCCAGACAAAATATTTAACCAAGGAATGCTGAATTTTGTTTTTTAATTAAAGGCTGACTTAACAAATCCCATCCAGATGGGGAATAAAAACAAGTTGAGCAAAGTTTAGTTGCTAGGTGTCACACAGACAAGAAAGAGGAGCATCTTTAATGGCATAGCATCTCTTATCGTCATTTACATTTTAATGAAGACAATTCAATATATAAAACTGATTTTCAAAAGACTACCCTTTAGAAGTGGAATGATTGTTTGGCAGTTACGAGAACATACTATTCCTGCAGAAGACCTGAGTTCGGTTCCCAGCACCCATATTGCATAGCTCATAACCTCCCGAAACTCCAGCTCCAGAGAGTCTGATGTCCTCTTTTGGCTCGCATGGACTCTGTACTCACCTGCACAAACACACACCTACCCACCCACCCACTCACCACCCCACACACCCAATTTAAAAATAAAAATAAATCAAACCTTAACAGGCTAAAACTTTTTTTTTTGCTTACCTGACTCTTCATTATTTGTCTTTGTGTAGTTTTCCAACATGAAGGAAAAGAAGTTGGACAGCTGAACAAGATAAAATAATATAAATCATTAATAAAGGCTGAGCCACTGCAGCAAACAGCAAAGTTCTGTGCAAGTCCCTTATTCTCCTGTTGTGCTCATCTTCCTGCTACAGCGCATGCCAAGAGTCACAGATGGGCAGCAACCACACTGAGCTGCATAGAAATTATATATGCATCCCTCCTGGGAGGCTGCCCATACAGAACTGGCTAAAGCAAATGTGTAACATCCCAGTCCTCCACCTCCTTGCCATGCATGGGACAAATGATAATGTAATTCACATTTAAACGCGTCTATGGGATCGGCTGAAGTTAGACTTGTGCAGAAGGTATAGTTCTTCCTGACTTCTTTGTTCCTTATGGTCTCCTCGTTATCTCTTTGGTATCAAAATTAATACTGTTTAAATTGACAGTCTACATGGGCTTAGGGAGATTGCTCGGTGGCTAAGAGCACTGACTGTTTTCTCGGAGAAACAGAGTTCAATGCGCAGCATCCACATAGCAAGCAGCTTATAACTACCTGTGAACCCAGGCTCAGGGGATGCAATGCTCTCTTTTGGCCTCCATGGGCACTGAACACACAAGATGAACAGATATACATGAAATCAAAACACACACACAAACACAACTAAATACTTTTAAAAAGACAGCCAACTCTATGAGGTCCTAATCAAAGCAAAGGGAACACTGAATGCCCTATGTCTTTTGTTGTTGTTGTTGGGATTTTTGGTCGTGGTGGTAGAAGTGATGGTGTTTTTTTTTTTTTTTGAGACAGGGTCTCACTATATAGCCCTGGCTGTACTCAGACTCACTATATAGACCAGGTTGGCCCCAAACTCAGAGATCCTCCTACTTCTGTCTCCTGAGTGCTGAAATTTAAGACATGTATCACCATGCCTGGCCTAACCTATATCATTTTAATAGCTACCAAGAAGAGATTTGCCAACTTAACTCCTTTGGAAATTTGTTTTTTTAAGGACCATAACCTGATACTTAAATATGGTTGTTAAAACTTTTAAAAAAAAACACCAAAGGAAAATGAGGTCTCCCTTAATATCACTACCCACTCACCCTTGTTTCTGCCAGTAGCCACTACGCAGAATCTGCTGTGTATGTTTTTCTAGAATATGGTTGAATGGTTAGGTTTTTTAAAAATATTTATTTATGTATTTATTTATTATGTATACAATATTCTGTCTGTGTGTCTGCCTGAAGGCCAGAAGAGGGCACCAGACCCCATTACAGATGGTTGTAAGCCACCATGTGGATGCTGGGAATTGAACTCAGGACCTTTGGAAGAGCAGGCAATGCTCTTAACCTCTGAGCCCCAGAGTTTTTTTGCATACATGAGATAAACTCTAGGTAGCACTATGTAAGTTGGGTCTTACATTAATAACTATATTGGGGATCTTTCTAAGATCATTTATAGGTAAAAGGTACTCATTTTTATTGGTGAATATTAAAGCAAATATAAATAAATTTGTATCACCAGTTTTATAAAGGACTTACACATTCATATATTTTCTTTTATAACTTTCATAGACTTGTTCCCTGGAAAACCTGTTTTTAAGGTCTAAAAGTAGCCTGTCTGAAGGGCTTTGGAGGTTAGCTTAGTTGGTAAAGTGTTTGCTATGAGAACCTGAGTTTGAGCCCCAGAACTTATATAAAAACAGGGAAGTATTCACTTGTAATCCCAGAACTGGGGAGGCTGAGATAAGACGGTCCCCAGGAATCACTTCCCTAATAGCCAACCCTATTGGGAAGTTTTAGATCTCAATGAAAGATGCTATCTTAAGAAAGACAAGGTGGACAGCTCTTGAGGAATGATACCCATTCCACACACATACACTTGGATGTGCACACACCCCTGCAGCAACATACACAAGAACATATGCAAACATAGCTATTCTTTTGGGGTTGGGGATATATAGTTCAGTGGTACAGTGTTTTCCCAACTTGCACAAGGCTCTGGGTTCAGCCCCTCCACTTCCATTTTTTATTTTTCCATTCATAAAGTCATGAGTTCATTTACCATTATGGAATATGCTCAAAAAATAGAAAAAAATACTTTTTATTAGTTAGCTAGACATCTGGCATTGTTCTAAAAGTGGGAGCTTCAAAACTGAGAAATGCCATCTCCCCAAATCACAATCTCTCAACAACTAGTTCCAAAATAATGCCATTGCAGCTTCTATGAAAACCTTTCATCAAGGCTCCTCAGCTTCAAATAGACCCGCAGTTTCATTCTTTCAAAAACAAGAAGAGGGGAGAGCGCCAGAGAGGAGGGGAGGGAAGGCGGAAGGGAGGGAAACAAAGAAATGCTTGCCAAACAGACCTGCATTTGGCCTTGCTCATCAGCATATTCGATAGACTGGAAGATGGCGAGGGCATAATGCTGTCTGGCCATCAGTCGAGCTCTGTACCGCCGGTACCAGTTTTGGATGACTAATGCGGCTTTCAGCACTGCAGACCCGCAGGATATGAAAGGCAGAGAAAAATAATTATATTATAGCTTTGAGGGAAGCAGGTGGTTTAACCAAAACAATCCAACAATTTCTTAGTCCTAAAAAATAGGAACATAATAAACAATGAGATTGACCTTTATGCTTTATATAAAATGTTCTTAAGGCTCAAACACTCAGAGAGATCAGAGCACAATGATGTCATAACCATTAAGGGTAGAAGCTTTAAGGTAAGATTGCCTGAACGCGATGCTTCCTACCTGTCAGTCACTAGAAAAAGGAGTGTAGACTTTCAGCGAATACATTCCATGGGGTATCTTGCCACCATTAGAAAGAAAGGATTAAATAAACCCTGGGCAATATGAGTGCACTGGTTGGTTTTTGTCAATATGATACAACCTAGACATATACAGGAACAGGGAAACCTAACTGGAAAAAAATGCCTCCATATGATTGGCCCATAGGGTATTATTGTCTTGATGAGTGATTGATGTGGAAGAGTTAAGCCCATTGTGGGTGGTGTCACCTCTGGGCAGGTAGGTGGTCCTAGAGGGTTTAAGAAATCAAACTAAATATGCCAGGAGGAGCAAGCCATTAATTGGCTCTACTCCATGGCCTATCAGTTCCTGTTTCCAGGTTCAATCTCGGTTTCCTCAAGAGTTTTGTATTCACCATGCACAGAGTGTTCAACAATGTTTACCAAATACTTAGAGAGTCCCTGCAGTCCTCCCAACACTGATGGAGGAAGGTCATTGGTTAAATAAAGAAAGTGCCTTGGCCCTGATAGGTTAAAATTTAGATAGGTGGAGTAAACAGAACAGAATGCTGGGAGGAAGAGGAAGTGAGCTCAGAGGCCATGCAGCTCTCTCCAGGGCAGACTCGATGCAGCCAGTCACCAGGTCAGACATGCTGAATCTTTCCTGGTAAGCGTACCTCGTGGTGCTACATAGGTGAATAGAAATGGGTTAAGAGGCTGAAACTAATGGGCCAGGCAGTGTTTAAAAGAATACAGTTTGTGTGTTGTTATTTCGGGGTATAAGCTAGCCAGGTGGCCAGGAGCTGGGCTGTGGGAAGAGGCCCACAGCTCGTACTACACAACACCGTGAAGCTAAGAGAGGTAAGAGTACCTACTTAGCTCACTTAGTCACTAAGTAGAAATGGACAGGGAAAATCTGAACACAGATCTGACCCCAAGGCCCAAGCTTTTCACCTCCAAAGAGATGTTCACCTATTGCTATACATCATGTCCCCATTTATACAATGATATAGCAGAAAGAATGATCACGAGAGTTTCATCTACTTAGAATTAACAATGTCAAATAATATACTGTTAATAATAGATAACCGAGCTGATTTCTGTTTAATAATAGAACAGTCTGCTTTGAAACTTTCAGTGCCCACAAACATCATCAGCTCCATGCCACATGTAAGGAAACTGAGTTCAGAGCAGCGAGTGTGTTGTTCAAAGTTACCTAGCATAGACATCTGAGTCCAAACCCTGAGTTCTTTCTACTGGGGCCAGTTACTTTATTCCCTAACTCATTTGGATCTTTCTTTTCATTGACTAATAACAAACACTGTATACCAAATGCCTACTAACTGCAGTAACAGGACAGTACATATACCGCCCTTTCTGCTCCTTCCCAACACAAGGAGAAATGGGAGCTAATGTCCTTCTGTCTCTGCTTGGTCTCTGTGCAGGGCATGGTTGAAATTCTAACCCACATGGGAGGAGTCATTGTTTTCTCAGGTAAACAACTGCATTCATTGGGTTCTATTCTGAGGCACTATGGAAAGACAGGGATGTGGAAGGGAAAGGAGCCTCTCATCCTGGTGTCTAGTGAAAGTCTTCAGACAGCAGTGAGTCAAATATTCCACAGGTATAGGATGGTCAGAGAGATCCCAGAGGTCCCCCCAAATAACACAGTTTATTGTTACTACTCTTGTTTACCCACCAAAACTGGATGACAAGACCCTATTTCTGGAGACCCGGTGTGCGTTTGCTACATCACTCATGTAATTCAATTGGTAAATCAATTTGGAAGCTTCCTCCCCGATGGCCAGCTAGTTTAGTGCCAGAAGGTGCTATGTACAATTTGAGAGGAGAAAAGTCATCAATAGTCTTATCCAGCTGTGGACTCTGCAGGCTACAATACACTACAACACACTACCCCAGGCAAGAGTGGCATGACTGTTAAGGGGGGTGGTAACTAACCAGTTTCTGATGGGATTTGAGGTCCACTCCAAAAAACCTCAAAGGTCCTGCCTGGTACTATAAATCTGGCTGGTAGCTCATGGCCAAGGAGGTCATAGGCCCCAGGAGGAAATTTACTATTATTTGGATAAATGGACACGATGTCAAACTGCCTTCTAAATGTTTATGTTTATACCCATAGATTGGTGCTGCCTTCAGTCTGGGTCAAAGAAATCCTGTGTGAGTGGGAAATGATTAATGCAAAGATTCACAAGTAGTCAAAGTGCTGATAATAAGAGACTTTAAAAAGCTATTTTAAAATTATATGGATGAGTGTTTTGCCTACATGTCTGTATATGCATCAGATGCATGCCTGGTGCCCACAGAGGTCAGAAGAGGGTCTTAGATCCCTGAAACTGGAGTTACAGGTGGTTGTGGGTCATGATGTTAGTGCCTGGAACCAAATCTGGGTCCTCTGTAAGAAGAACATGTGCTTGTTAACTGCTGAGCCATCTCTCTATCCCCATAAGTGACTATTGTGTGCTCATCCCCAAGTGGCACATCTATATTACCCCCTCCAAAGCTAAGGAAGCATCGAGAAACAAGGAGTAAAAAGAATGTAAGAGCCAGATGATGGGGAGCATTGTGAAATGCTGTCATTTGGATGTAACTGGATGTCACATCTAGTTACATCCATGAACTCACATCAGTGGCGATTACCTGCACATGACTGGGCTCCTCAACATTCCACCATGAGGAGCTACAGACATTTAATGACTGATATGGGGCGGGGGGGGTCATATTCCTTTGTAGTATAGCCAGTGGTAAGTTGGCCTCACTCAAGTAAACCCATGCTCATGCAAACAACCCTAATTAAATGTGTGACACCCCCCCCAAAAAAGATAGAAAAGTAGGAAGGGGATTTGTAGGGGAAAAGAAGTTCAGTGGGGGGGATAAAAGAGAAAATGGGGAAATATGATCAAAATACATTTTATATGAAATAGATTATTAGAGAAACAAAAATGGTTAAAACAACAAAAAAAGAAAAGAAAAGAAAAAGAAGGAAAGGAAGGAAGGAAGGAAGGAAGGAAGGAAGGAAGGAAGGAAGGAAGGAAGGAAGGAAGGAAGGAAGGGAATCACAGTATATTTGAGGTTGGAGGAATATACTTCAGTTGCCTGTCATGCACAAAACCCTGGGTTCAATGCCCAGTACTGCGTAAAACCAGGTGAGGTAGTTACCATGTATAATCGCAGCACTTAGAAAGCAGAGACAGAGCAGCAAAAGTTCAGTGGTCCTTGGCTACAAGGCAAGTTAAAGGGCAACCTGGACTATCTGACACTCTATCTTAACAAAGAAAGAATTCCAGGTCAGTGCATATTTACTGTGAGGGTTATCGCAGAGTGACATCATTCCTTTTATGTAGAGATGTTTCTACAGAGAAGAGTACAACCCATGATGAGAAGAGGGACCCATTCTACACGCTGCCTTGTGATTTGTGGCTGATCCCAAACGCCATGTTGGGTTCTACAGAACAATGATCATGTACCTAGGTTCTAGAATTTGAGATCTGCATTCTCTCTCACTGCCAAGCAGGGTAACCCCCAACAATTTATCTCTGGACTTCAGTGGCCTTATTTTGCAAACTATGACTGATGACAATTCATAGGAAGGAGGAAATCAAATCAAGGTATCTACATCACAATGTCTGGCACAAAGCAAATGTTCCTGATTTGTCTTGCTCTCCAACCTTTGACTTGATTTTTTTAATTTTAAAAATTTCTTTCAGCCGGGCGATGGTGGTGCACGCCTTTAATCCCAGCACTCGGGAGGCAGAGGCAGGCAGATCTCTGTGAGTTCGAGACCAGCCTGGTCTACAGAGCTAGTTCCAGGACAGGCTCCAAAGCCACAGAGAAACCCTGTCTCGAAAAACCAAAAAAAAAAAAAAAATTCTTTCAAAATGCCACAATAATGACCATCACCAGAAATAAGAGTATTAAATCAAACAAACAAAAACAACTTGGCAATTTAAAAAAAAAGCCATGCATGTTGGGGAGAAAAAAAAATGGATTGATACCTTAACTAAATCTATACTGTTGCTTCCCAAAGCTTACATATGGTGGTAACTTTTTTCTCCTCCTGCAGAGATTAATAAGACCGGGAAGACAGACACACAATTCTTACACATTGACCTAAAGCAGCTCTAAGCTGTCAAGCAAGGTGAGAGCTAGACAACACAGATCTTTGCCTCCTTGGGCTGGATGGATTGAAGCAAACAACCCCTCGGTTCTACCTGGCACTACTTTGGAATTCTCCAGTCAAGAGGAGCGGCTGTGTTACCCTGCAGCATGTAGGTGGACTCTCTGGCACCAAATAAGGTCTTAGGGGCCTGCTGTTGGTATGCCTAATCCTGTCTGTCAGTCTCCTAACCTCTCCTGGAGAGGTTCTGAGGAAGTTAAATGCTCAAAAAGATAACAGCAAGGTACGGATCAAAACCCATTTTCTTGGTCAACTGTGGCCCAAGAATTCAAAATACCAGTGTAGAACTCTAATAGGGCCTGAGTTGGAGGAGCCAGGAAGTCAGAAGCTTGATATCTAAGCATGTCCGATTTTTCTTTCTCCACGAAGACCAGGCCTCATCAAATGCCCTCCAATTCCATTCCCTCTGTTCCTCTTCTGCCACTCAATTCCTCCTGTTCCCATTCCCACCTGCCCCAGTCCACTAGCAAAATCTCCTCCATTTTCCCTTAGAGAGCCTTCCTTGTTACTTAGCCTCTCTGGGTCTGTGGATTGTAGCATGGCTATCCTT